ATCGAGACCTTTCATTTGAGTACCCACATATATTTTTTATATATTTTTCATATATACATATATAAAATATACATAAATATATGAAAAATGCATGTGGGTACTCAAATGAAAGGTCTCGATAAGTGTAACACCAGGATGAGCTTATATCGTTAACAATATCATTAGTGGACAAAAAACAACGTCATTTCTTGATTATTGACATTTTTTAAAATATAAACTCATCCATCTCATTAAGATGGAAGGTAGATTTCAACTTTAAAAAAATTCTGTCGAATAATAAATACTGAAACTTTTAATAATGAAAGAAGTTTTGTTAATTATTTTTAAATCAAACCATCATATGTGTTTATTTTTCATTATTTGAACATTCACAATTTTCAGGATTTTTGTAATTTTAAAAATTTTTAAATGCCTACAATCCTAAACTAGTCGACCAATTTTGCCCATCTTTGAACTCATTTGAGGTAATCGTCTGAAGTATATGTGTGTCTAATTTCATTTAGATCCAATAAGAACTGTAGACACAATCGTGTCAATATACCGCGTTATATTATATATACATAAAATTTAGTGATAAATGAATTTTTCATATGTCACATGGATAGTTCTATCATGTTAATAAAAAAAAATTCCCATGTTACCATTGGAAAAATTCCTATGTTAACATTGGGAAAATTCCTATGTCAACATTGGAAAAATTCCTATGTTAGCATTGGAAAAATTCCTAAGTTAACATTGGAAAAATCCAAATGTCAACATAGGAATTTTTCCTATGCAAAAATAGGAAAAATCCCTATGTTTTTTTCTCCGTGTACTTAGAGATTTTTAAAATTAAAATTAACAAAGAATTTTTGCACTAAAAAAAAATTAACTTCAATCAAGAGCAAAATTCTTGAACGAAGAAAATAATTTTGAAGTTCATTGTTTTGAATCAAGACAAAAAATTCTTGAATCAAGTAAAATTTATTTAAACCAAGAAAAATTTCTTAGTTTAAGAATTTTTCAACTTAAATGAAAAAGATGATATTCTTCAAAATTATTTCCTTTTCAAAATTAAATTTTTTTTTTAATTTTTGAATTCTTAAAAAAATTGGAATTTTTTTTAAATTAGTTTTTTTTTATTATAATTTTTATCAAAATTCAATTTTTCTATTCTTGATATTCATACAATTTTTTTATCCTAAAATACTTCAAATTCAAGAAATTCATATTTACTGTTCCAATTTGTCAGCTAAAAATTTCGACCTATCTGAAGTTATCGGAGTGAATAAATCCTCCAATGTGATTCCATCCTTCGCTCCTTTGCTAAATAATTTCAATGTCCACCTATTGAATAAAGTTGACAAAAAATAAATAAAAAAATAAAATAAATATCAAACAATAAGTAAATAACAAACCAGTAACACAATCTGCTGATGAGATTAGCTTCTTCAATGGGATTATTCTTTTTCTGCGCAGTCATTCTCCTTTTTTTTTTTTTTTTTAATTTTAACAAATTATCAGCTCAGCGTGATCAGTGATCAGATAGCTTTAATCAACACCTTGGATCCTCACATTAGAAGAGAATTCACTTTAACAATAATTTCTATATTAACACTAAAGGCTAGCAGATATTTTATTATAATAATTTATCAACTGTAGTTGATAAATCAGCGGGATTACACTGCAAATACGTTTCGCTATAAAACGATTCCGGTATCTTAATAGGTACTATTGTAGTGATAAGAAACATGTTATTACGTCAATTGAAGTAATGCCAGCGAGACTTAAATACAATAAAAGATGCTGCGTGCATAAATTGATCAAGAATCTTATGATATTATGAGGAACTCGATTCGTTAGACTTAATTGATTAGAGTCAATAGGGAATGAATATATAAATACACAACTATTCTTCTTAAGTAGTGATATAACACTCGACAAGTCTTAATGAAGAATTACGTCAGAGACTGTTAGATTAATCAAAGGCAACTGTTGCTTCGAAAGGTCAACATTTTTGGATTCATTTCTATCTCGTTTACATCTACGGATTTTATTAATTCATGTCTTAGGTAGTGAAAGCAAGGTTTTTATTGCGCTCTATGTTTTTAAGTAAGTGGATAATTGTCAAAGAAGATGTTACTTAAGTTAAAAAAATGTTTCACTAGAGAAAATAAATAGGTCATTTATATTCTATATTTAATTGATCTGTCATTGAAATTGAACTTATTCAAATTTGACGAAATTTGGTCAAAATTTATTTTTTATTAAATAAGGAAGATTTGTCGGAGGAAAAAATTTTTAATTAATTGAAAAAAAAATTGTCAAATTTTCTAAAATAAAAAAAATTTTTTTTTTTCAATTAATTACAAAAAATATAAAAAAAAGTCGGCCCCGTCCGGGATGAGCGGGAATAGTTGTCAAATTGATTGAAGTTTTTTTTGAGAAAAAAAAATAAAAAAAAAAGTGACCAACTTTGGAAAAATAACGATTTTGCTTAAAAAAACCGATTATTTTATAAAATTGATGATATTTAATTTTTTTTGTGTATTTTTTCGAAAAGTTCATTCAAAAACAAAAACATTTTAAAAAAAAAAAGGTAGCCAAAAGTCATTGTCTAAAAAAGTTATGGCTATTTAAAAATAAAAAAGCCACTTTTTTGAAAAATTAATAACTTTTTTTGGGTTGAATAAAAAAATTTGAAAAAATTCTTAAATATGAATACCCCATATATATCTCTCCTTTATTAAAAAATTGATATGACGTTCTCATTTTTGTCGCTTTTTGTTGCTATGGCAACAGTTAAATATTGATAAATAAAATTTGTAAAAATATTGATTAATTAAATTGTCGATAATAAACATTTTAACAGAAGCGCGCTCGATTTTATAGTATATTTATATTTATATACAGAACTTAATGTAAATCATAAAAACTATCATTATACAAAATCGTAACTTTTATTAAAAAAGAAAATATACATGGATTAAAAATAATTAACATTTCTGTAAATAATACGCAATTTAATGAATTTTAAAATAAACTGCGTTCAGAAATAACATAAAAACCATTTGATAATACGTGAGTAAGACATTCTGGATTATTTGCTTTCAGTAGTATTAATTTAATGCTTTCATATATGGGAATTAAGTCCAACAGTCATACATTTTTTGTAGGGAAAATAAATAGTTTGGTTATCAGAGATAATAGAAATTGTAATACCAAACACAGGATTATTAATAAGAAGTACATAATTAATATGTCAACTTGACCACATAAATTAAAACGTGTATCACACAGCCCTTACTAATTACACAGTAATACATATAGGCATAAGTACACAGACAAGTCGGGGTACAGCCATCTACCGACTATTCCTCTTAAGAAATATTTCTTAACTATTGAGAAATCTTTTTTGTTGGTAAAAAATATTTGTTTCAATCTAACAACGTTTTGTTAGGATTAAAAATATTTTTTGAATATAAAGAAGTAATTTTTTTTATTTTAATAAGTATTTTTAATTGTTAATAAATATTTTTATTCCCTAAATAATCACTTAAGAAATTTTTAAGTAATCAATTTCTTAATTTAAAAGAAATCCTTCTATCAATATACTTTCGGATAATCTCAAGAAAGAAAGAATCCTTAAATTTTCATAAAAGCATTTTTTCTTTATTTAACAATTAAAAATTTTCTAATTTTTAATTTTTGGAAAAAGAATTGAAAAATTAAAAATTTAATTTCGAATTGTTAGAAATCATAAAAATCGACTTTGGACATTAAACTTTGAACTCTGATGTCTTGATATAAAAATTTTAAATAATCTAAAAAGATTATCAAATTTTCAATAGTTTTTTTTTCAAAATTATAAATTTTGGCAAAATAAAATTTTTTTTTTGTTTTTTGAAATCTCCTTTAAAATACTCAAGATTATTTCAAGGTATTGCATTGAAAAATTTAATTTAAAAAGTAAATTTTAACTATCAGAAAAAAATGAAAGTTCTACTAATTTTTGTTAACAATTATTTTTTCTTCTGCAGCTCTAATTATTCTCTTTAAAACAAATAAGAGTTTATTTCTGAACCTATGATAGTTTTCAAGATATTGAAGAAATTAAGTTTAAAAAGTGGAAAAATAGTAAAATTGTGGATAAATTTTGAAACAATTTTTTTCCTTCGACAAATTTCCGTTTTATAATGGAAGAAATGTTATTACCAAATTTCATCCGAATTCAAGGGAGTCGATACCAACTATTGGTTGACTTGATATGGAATAACCCAAATTTAAATTACGAAAAAGCTTAGGGAATTTAGATATCGACCCAAATGCTCGCAATAGACTAAAAATATCACAACTGGTCATAATTATTTCTGGGAATCGTCACAACTTTTTACTTGACCTGCGTAGTAGATGTTTATATTGGTGGCCGTAACTTATTACTCGTTTAAAAATTATGAAATGCGTACTTACCCATTTAAAACTTCTGCGAATTATTTTTCACACCCGAATTTTTTTTAATTTTTTAATTCCAATTATTGGTTTTACCCCGTTTTACGAAAATCGAGTTTTCATCAGATCTCGACGTTTTGAGGTCTTGGAAAGCTTCCCTGACTATTCCCGCGATGGTGTCCATGCGGCTGTCCGTGTGTGTGTGTGTGTGTGTGTGTGTGTGTGTGTGTGTGTGTGTGTGTGTTTTT